TGTCAATGGGCGCTTTGCTTTAGCTGTTACAATGTAATAAGGGTTAACCAGAGAGGCAATTTCTGTAAGCAGGGCAATAAAGATTAGGCTAGAAACAACACCAGAATGTTCCCTTCCTGCCTTCCTTACAGGATTAGCCCTGTAAAGTGGAAAAAACAAAAGGAGATTTCTTCCAACAACCAGTTCTCTGCCCTAATGACCAGCTGGGTAGGCATGGACCAGTGGTCATATGATCATATGGGCATAGCCAATTCAAAGTCACTCATGTCAATGGGCGCTTTGCTTTAGCTGTTACAATGTAATAAGGGTTAACCAGAGAGGCAGTTTCTGTAAGCAGGGCAATAAAGATTAGGCTAGAAACAACACCAGAATGTTCCCTTCCTGCCTTCCTTACAGGATTAGCCCTGTAAAGTGGAAAAAAACAAAAGGAGATTTCTTCCAACAACCAGTTCTCCAAACTGCTTAGAAAGTTACCAACCGGTTCTCCCGAATAGGTGCGAACTGGCTGAATCCCACCACTGGTTTGAAGTTAACATGGCACTGAAAAAAAGTGACTTATGATTGTTTTCCCACCCTTATGACTGTTGCAATATCCCCATGGTTACATGATTAAAATTAATTAATATTTATAATGCTTGCAGTGTCCTGGCATCACGTGATCACCTTTTGTGACCTTCTGACAAATAAAATCAAAGGGGAAGCCTGGTTCACTTAACAACCATGTTAGTAGCTTAACAACTGCAGTTATTCACTTAACCGTGGCAAGAAAGGTCCTGAGACAAAGCACACTTAACAAATGCCAACAGACATTTTGGTCTCAATTAGGGTCATAAGTTGAGGACTACCTGTATTACCATTTTACTAGATGTAGTATGTACACCTCCTCTACACACACTCCCAATCATTACTTACATTTTTGTTGATAGACAGGTGAATGTGCTCCCAAAGAGAGCACTGGTTTACAATCACCCATCATTTTTATCTTTTCTTTAGGATCCCAAAACACTCTTGGTTGGGAGATAAAGAAGATAAAGACTGCTGTCTAATTTTGCAGGGCCCCAGGTTTCCATTTTTTAAAAATTAAAAATATAAAAATCAGGTGAGGCAATAAGCCCAAAGGGCACTAAAAATTATATCCACAAGCATCCAGAAGCCACTTTGAGAATCCAGGGTTTAGCATCATATAAATAAAATCTTGGCCTTCCTCCTCTCCAGCATGGCTGAGCAGAACACTTGAGCACTCTTATTTCCATTTTTTTTGCTCCTTAGCTTTACGATTTATTTGATTTATAGCCCATTTTTTGTTTTGTCCAACAGACCAACTTCAATTAATATTAAGTATGGTTTGTTTGAAACAAGCTGATATAAAACCACTGTTTTAAAGCTGGAGTCCCTAATTTATTTCTTAAGACAGCAAGTGACCACACATAATTTTGTTGATGCCAATTGATTCCATGTGAAATTTTATTTTGTAGCTTATGCAAAGACTTTTAAATTGGGTTAGTATTAAAACAAGTAATAAATACTTTAATACTCTTTTTTTTAAAAAAAGCAAAAGCTAGTATGTTTCAGAGCAAAACTCTAGTCTTCATCATCTTTATTTTCAAGATTATCTGTATATAGGCATATTTATATAATACCAACAGTGGGAGGCTATACCTCAGTGCTTTTTATTGAAGGCACTCACTTGTTAAGGAAAACAATATAGATAATGTTAAAATGCTGGCAGTGGTAGTATTATGCAACATCCTGCTTTAAATTTTCTAACTCCCCTCTCCACCTGCTAGCAAAACTATAAGGATGTTGCTTCAATAATCTACTTTCTGGTTTAAACAATTTACTGTCTCTTGTACTCAAATATGTTCAATATTCAAATGAGGACCCTCTGGTTTATTGAATCAAAAATAAATGGTAAATTTTAGTTGTGATTTATGTCGATAAGCTACAGTTTAAACAGACTACATGTCTTGGTTTTGATGCAATTATGAACCATAATTACTTTAAGCTTGAAAATGTTTGCTTCCAGTCTCCTTCACACTGTCATAAGAGTAGGAGAGGGAAGAGATGAACATGGTCATTCACAGTAAATGAAACTATTATCTTGGTGTTTAGACCAGGCCAATGACAGACAATTACACAGGTAATACATAAAACACATGATAATGTCAGAAAAATAGATGGAAAATTGGTTAAAATTCAGAAAGGAAGAGTGTTCATCTGTTTTTCAACCAATTTTGCCTAAGATGCTCAGGGCAAATTACTAACAAATCTAATGTAAAATCCACAGTCAACAGAACATAAAATCTAATATCACGATTCAGAAATGGAAACTTAAACCATGAAGAAGAAATAAATTAAGAAGGGCTTAAAAAAAACACCAATGAAGAAATATTTGCCAAGTTTCATCAATGTGGAAATATTTGCAAATTAGTTATGAATACTTAATAGCAAGTCTGAATACCCACATTCAAGTTAAATATGAAATATGGCTTAGGGTCCAAGGCTGAAACCATCTGCTCACAGTTTTGCACACATCAAGAAACCCAGGGGAAAAACTGGAAACGCTTCCATTCTCCAAACCTTTTGTTCCCTCCCCTCTCTTTTCCTCATTCTCCCTCTTCCATGGCTAAGGGGGAAAATAATAAAAACTACATTTTTCTACAATATCTTGCTAACGGTGATAGTTTTTCTGATTATCGACTTCCTGTTCATGGAAACATTCACATGATTTTATGTTCTAATGCAACTGTAGGTGACAATGTGCTAAGGAGAAAAATTATCCTGACATCATCTTTCTATCTTTGGAGAATGAGAGGAGTTGAGAATAACAGCAGAGAAAACCAAAGAATAATAAACAAAAAAAAAATCATTTACTGAATACTAACAAAAGAACAACATGAAACAAACCCCTACTCACCCCAATTAATTCAAATTCTGCTTACGCAAGCCACTGTTAATACTGTTTAAGCCCCAGCAAATGAAAAAGCAACATTAATAAAATGAAATTCAAAGCATTTGGTGCACAGGTGGTATTCTGTCGGTTCACCCTACTTCGGGCGAACTGGTAGCAGTGGTAGCAGGAGGCTCCACCCACCCGCCCAGATTCATCACGGACGCTTTGTGCATGTGCAAAAGCGCCATGCATGAGCAAAGCACGTGCGCGCACACACACACACTCCCAGTTCCGAACTGGTAGCAAAGGGAAGAGAAAACCATTACTGCTTTGGGGCATGAGAAAGATTTGAAAAAAGAGTTGATGGCAATCATGATGATTTACTCCAAAAATTACTGTTATATGATGTCTTTCCCGACTTAAGCTTCACCCCCAATTTCTTTCAGATACCTGCACAACGTTCTTCCCAGCAAAAGTTGCTCTTCTCCATCTCCGCCCTCGGCCCATAGCCTCATTCAACAAGTGGGCTAGCTTTCGTTCCATCTCAGCCTGAAAAACGTCCTCTTCAACTTTCTGTTTGACAACTCCCAGAACAACTAAGTTGAAATAAGCATTCAGATAGAAAAAAAATGCTTTTAAAAGATGCTTGAAATGTGCACCTTGACATCATAGGTAAACTACACACTTCTTGTCATTATAATAATATCCAAAATGGTAAAGAGAAGATCTGGGAAACGGCAAGTATATCTTTGCTTACTGTTACATCAGTACTTCATGAAGAACCTGGTTCTAAAAAGGTTTCGTGCATAGATTTTAATACATTGTAATAATTTAAAGGCTGGGAAATAGTGCCACCAGGTGCTTGTGCCTACACCACCTCCAGAAGGCCACCGAGATCCTCCTAATAAATAATTTTTAACACAGCTGAAATTTAAAAGCCTGTTGACTTTCATAAGAGGCACAGATTCTCATGAAATTTCAATTTGTACAGTGAATTATGGGAATAACTGAAATTTTGTGAAATGTAACCATCATGTAAGATTCTAGTCATTTAAAAAATATTTATATTTTCTGGCACTTATGTGTCTTTGCATAATAATCACTAGATCAGGGGTGTCAAACTCATGTCATAACGGTAGTGTCATGTGACATATCACAACTTTTTTCCCCTTTGCTAAACGAGGTGTGGGCATCGTGAGCACGTGACACATCCGGCCCATGGACAGCAAGTTTGACAAGCCCTGCATTAGATGATGGCTAGTCCCTGAAAGGTTTGCCAACTCCCATTATTGTGTAGAACTTTGACCTGAATAAAAGGGTATAAAAAATTAGGAACAAGAGCTAGCCAAACTATTTTTATGTGTGTATATGTTCATGCCTTCAAGTCAGTCTTCATTCCTAGCAACTTTGGACTAATCCTTGCAGTTTTCTTGGCAGGAATTTTGGAAGTGGGTGGCCATTGTTTACTTCATAGGGCTCAGGGCAATTTACTCAAGGAGAGCCAGCTGACTTAGTTTTCAAGATGGGACTACAACTCACCCAGTTTGTAATCTAGTAACTTAACTACTGTACCAAACTGACTCTAATACAAACTACTAGAGCAAGGATGTCAAACAGGCAGCTCACGGACCGGTAGCATCATGCCGAGGCCACACCCACTCTGGCTCCGCAAAGGCAAAAAATGTCATATGTCACATGACGTCACATTAGATGATCGAGTTTGACACCAGTGCACTAGATGATAATAAATTGTACTTTTCACATCTTTTTCCTAAACTTCAATTTGCATTCCTACTAGGTATTTTATCTATTGATCCTTACTAATCCTTAACTATGCTCTAAGAATTACAACATGGAATTAACTTCTGCAATAGATGACTTTCTGTTGGCCATGCGGATGTTTAAATTTACCTGCCTCTCCCATTTTTGTGGAGTTTTTTGTTCATTTTTCTGTTTCTCTTTATGCAAACAAGTAGGGACATTTGCAGTGTCTGCCTTCGAAGTTACTGTTTTAAACCACAAACTGTTAAAATCATCAAACTATTTAGTGCAAAACTGGGTTATTAAAAAGTGAACACAAATGCTACTTTCAAATGTAGTTCAACCCTACTAATACTTCCTTACATATTTGTTCATATCAGGAACTCTCCCACCAAATGAATTATTCATTATTCAGAACTTATGTATTTACTGCTGATAGGATTAAGTAAATGGTCTTCAAAATTTAATATTGAAAGAAAAAAATTAAAATTAATCTGCTGTATAGTGGAAATTTACTGAGTAGAAAATCAAGTCTGCCAAAGACTCTACAGTGAATGTAAGCATGAAATGGTAGCATAAGTGGTAGCATAAGTGGTAGCATAAAGGGATGCACATGTAGACAAAAATTATCCGAGTCTTCAGAGTGGGAAATGTAAGAATACAAGTTGTAAAAACAGTTGCAAGAGGAAATGGCTAACTAGGGAAAATTAACTGAACAGGACAACAGGAAAGCTAATTGAACTGGAAAACAGGAAAGGCAAAGCTAAAACTGAAAAACAGGAAAAAATCTATTGTTCTAAGAATCCATAAAACAACTCAGATAATAACTGAGCATGCTTAATGAACTAATTAATATTATTTGACACACCTTAGATATAGTATCTGCTACTTTTAATGTGATGTATAATTTAGTATGTTTAAAGAAGGTAGCAGGAAATATGTAGGAGGGGGTCAGGAAGAGTGTAACCTCATAGTACCTTAGCCAATGGGGAATGAGGTGGGATGTGATGGCCAGGACAGGGTTGTATAAAGAATGGAATATTTTGGGTTGGAACTTTGGAGAGAACCATGCTTTGAAAAGCTTCTCTCCCCGTTTACTGCAGTAAACAAAACAAAAGGCCTTCACTGTGTCTTGGATAAGTAAGGTGAGCTTGTCTCTGGTCACGAAGGAAAGTAGCCAGGAACACATAACTGCTAAAACTCTCATTGTGTTTATCTCTTTGTCTGTTTGTACCCTCAGGCTAGCCCAAACTATGTATTATACATAGTTTTTGAATCAAGGTACCTAAAATCTGTTAACTTAAAAATGTATAAAAATTCTGGGAACCATTACTGTTTAATGTTCATTCTAATCATACCATACCCTACCACCTTTCTTTCAAAGCATGTCACAAATTTATGTAGTATAATTCAAACTTACCCAAACATAGATCTGCTATGTGCTAAAAAATAACATTTTTATACCCACATATTTTACTAGACACTTTTTTACATACAAAGAGATGTTCTTCACCAAAAAAGGAAGCAAAAATGATTCTTGTTATTTTGAATATGGAGTTATGCATTTCAAAGAATAAGGAGCAGCTTGTTCTACTCAGTTTCTCGCTCTGTCATGATGTGGCAGTACTCATCCTGTGTCTTGACATTATGATGATCGATTTCATCAACCCCTCACAGTGGCAGGCTGTCAAAGCTTCACTCACAGACAAAAAGAAATGTCTATTCTAGAAAATTTATCTTCTGAAAATTCAAGAGTTTGGAGTGGAACAGTGAAGGAAAAATAAGCTGTTTTTATAACAGATAGCAAAGAAGCTCTTAATAACGAAGATCACCAACTGCAGATTCTGGAATCATATTTATATCCAACTCAGAATTTAAATGTTACGTCTCTTCCTCCCACTCCTATGTTATTATGGATTTCCTCCATTCACTTTTTGACCTAGGATGTGGAAGGCAACTGCACAATATTTTGATTATAGGCCTTTTGATCAAAACCTTCTTGCCTCCAACACTGGCATCTTCTGTTCTCTTGTCCGTATGAAGTAAAATGCAGATGTATAAGCTATATATACTGTGACTTCACATAATTACACATGGCAGAGACAAATGAGCATCTGTAACTAAACTAAAATATCTGGCAGTGGCCCTACAGCAAGTATTATATGCTATGGTTTAGGTTTAGGTTTAGGTTTATTAGATTTATATGCCGCCCTTCTCCCAAGGACTCAGGGCGGCGTACAACATTAAAAGAAACACATAATACAAAAGTTTAAAATGTTATTGTCAATTCTTATTGGGTTTGTTTGGGTTAAGTATTATATGCTATGCCTAACAGACAGTTATATCTTCCGTTTCTGGATGTTTAATCATTATCAGACCTGAAAAAAGTAGAATAATCTGTATTGAGAAATAATTCAGTTGAGAAGCTTCAGGATAAATTTTCTCTTCTAGGGAATTAAAGCACATTTTTTACCATAAATTTTGAGCATTTTTTCACTTTGTCACTTTGCTCTATGAAAGGGGTTTCATATTTAGACAATCATTGGACCAGACTCATAAAGTACCATAGGCTAAAAGGTTATCAATACAACAGCCACTGTGCTATTCCTCCAACTGCCTAACATTATTTCCTTGGCCAATGGTCAGTAAAAGAGGAATAATTAGTGAGGGGAAAGGTGGATAATGGAGACCATTGTTGAAATCTTAGTTGACCACCTTTGCATTAAAGCAAAGGAGACTTTGGTCATTGCTATTTGTATCTGCATTTGAAAAATACAAGGAAATATTAATCATATATTGTCTATTACTCTGATAATATCACGTGAAGAGATTATTCAGTTATATGATACATACCTGTTCTTATCCAGGAAGATTTCATCAAGTGTGATGTATTCAGTTGGGGATAATAAACAGCTGGAAAAATTTAAAAATGAAAGAAAGGGGTAAAGAAATATGTATAAAAAGAAGACCCAGAGAGACAACAAACCAGAATCAAGAGAGCATTTTATAATTCATAGTAAAACAGTGAAATAACTTGGCCACTCTCCTAAGGAAAAATCAATTGACCAAGATAATAATTACCGCCAGTTTTATGTTCTGACCATTAAACTAAATTAATTAAAATCCCACAGAGCTATTATATGCTTTCATTTTAGGAAATACCAGAGAGGGGAAGAAATTGTACTGTATAAAATTAACAAGTTGCACATAATGGCTAGGCTTCCTGTCTAGACAAACACAGTGACTGCCTAAACGTATTATTTTCCATGGTACGTGTATATATAAAGTGGCATTAAACATTAATAGCATCTAATTCAATGTGTAAAATTCTATTATGAAATAATGTATTCTTTATTTCCTTTTTTGACCTAAAATTAATCTTACTACTTTATTCCCCCCACCTCCAAATGGAATAAAAAACTGGCAATATGATATAATGGTAAAGGTACTGTTGGGGCTGAAGACTAAAAGGAAAGATTAACACTATGTACATCACAGTTCCTAAACTGAGCTGTGCATCCCGCATCATCCTTATTTGGATGAAGACTGCACTTAGGTTTAGAAGGCATGCTGGGAATTGGAGCCAAGAATTAGACAGGGCCAGGACATAAACTAAATTTAATTTAATTTAATTTATATGCAATTAAAAGTAATTAAATACAGTTTGGTGATGTTTTTTCATGGCTAACAACCAGTTTACAATTAAAATAAAGCAGAAGACCAAGATAATAAACTCTAGCCAGATAATCTCACAGGCATCTTATACAGGTACATAAAAAGGTACAAAATCAGTACTCTAAAGGTGATATCAAAATAGAGATTAGCTTAAAGGAGACAATGTGGTAAAGCTCCCATATTGGAATTCTCTGAAGAATAGAATGAATCAGCTACGCTTCCCCCAGTCCCTATAAAATGAGCAACAGTGAAACACACGACTCTAAAGTGTCTTTGCTTAGCACTCTTACTCACTCTCTCTATGCTTGGGGATTTTAATATTGTTTAGTTTGAATTAATCTTCGTTTTTAATGCTGATTTTTATAATTTTTAAATGACTGTATGTTTTTATTGATTATTGTATAGCACTTCTTATGACATAAATCTGGTTAATAAATATATAAATAAATAAACCTTCAAGTGTACTCACGTTCTGCAATGTGCTGCACTGGAAAACCCAGATAAAAACTAAACTCCACCACAGACAAGTTTCTTAGCAGTTCACTAACTTCAGACCCATTCAGGAACCCACGCTTCTCTCGAACGGCAAATATAATTTGCACAGGGCCTTGCCGAAACACTGCTTTGGGCTGACCCAGAGTTATATTTAGTATCTGAAAAGTCCATGTGAGAAAGAACTTTTGAAAACATTTCAGCATGTAGCCAGCATAATTATCATCAACATCTCTACGGTTAGTATCACCGTAAAATTCAGCATTGGGGAAAGCAGAGGAGAGAGTAGACAAGAGAAGCATACAGTGTCTATTTCAGGAGATGCTTGTCTCACCTGCACAGTGAAGTTGGAAATATCCTGATGATGCTTTCTCACCTCCTCAAAGGCAAACCTCAGCCCTTTTTCAATGCGCTGGCTGAAGTTACAGAACCCAATGTCAATACTTCTGGGTACAAATTGAAGGACTAGAAGTAGAAAATTAAATGTTTGTGTTACTAGATTTAAGTTTAGTAATTCTGGCTAGAGATGACAAGGCTTGAATGGGAAATCTATTCTAAGGTTGAAAGGTAGAAGCAGTCTTTAGCCCCAATGACCTGTTTCATACATCATGGTTACATCATGGTTTAATGGGAAAAATCACAAATGGTTGGATCTGCATAACGTTCTAAAATAATACGCCATGATTTATAATCTGCAATGGCTGAGTACATACACTATGCTAGCCAAAATCAAACATACCACTTCTGGTTCAGTATATTATGGAAATCCAAGCAATATTAATACTTTATTTGGTATTCCAATTCTATAATTCACCCATCAAGTAAAATCTATTAACAGAATTTTTATTTATCTAATTTATATCACCTAGTCATGTACATAAGATAATGGATACTAGTAACCAATGTAATGGAAGTTATTGTAGACTCATCCTCATTTCTCTCTAGCATCTTGCTATATCTATACTAATGCTATACTTATGCTTATACCTCTGCATCTCCTTCCACTGATTCTTTCAGTCATGCTTGTATTATCCATTAGGGACAATAGAAAGAATGTCCTGGGCTAATGAAGCCTTTGGGACCTCCCAATGTTGTTAAAAAGATCATCACCAGGTGAATGAAAATTGCAAGAGCTGAACTAATATATAGGAGCTCATTCTCCATTTTTCATTTATACACCAATTTTTCTACCAATAGGAGGAGATTTAAATAATATTATTTTTGAACAGATGCACACATCTGAGATTTGAAGTGTATTAATCCTAAATTGTGCTTCAAGTGTCTTTCCTTCAACAAATGTTGGGTCGTCAAAAGTCCATGTTTCTCTATCAGCACAGAAACAGTACAAAGATGATGGGGCTTACCAGTTTGTACTCGGAACTGGAGAGCAGGAGCAGGAAGAGATGGTTGCAGTGATGAAATGAGAGGTGTTTCACCATAAAGAAGGCTGCTGTTCACCAATACATTGATGACAGCAATTGCCGTGTAAACAAAAGGCCCCGAGGTCACCAGAAAAGAGAATTTTGGAGAAAGTGTATACACCTATATTAAAAATAAGAGAGTTTTAAATCCCTAAAAGCAGCACTATTTTCTGCACTGCATCATTTTTTTATAGAAAGATTTCTGTGCACTAATTATGGTAATGAATGTCTTCAGCCACTGTTAGCGTATGAGAAGAACATGACAGAAGAGAAGTAAACACATAGTCCACATAATTTTATTCAAAACCTCTATAGGGTTATGGCAGTGATCTCATAACTGGATGTCCAATTCAGTTATCGAGATGATTGCCTCTGGCATTGCTTTGTGCAGATCTTCTAGAGAACCAGAGAACACATGTCATGGGCAATCTTGCACAATATGTTTAATAGTTTGCATACCAGCACCACAATCACAACAATGGGAATCTTTCCATCCTTACTGATACAGAGCAGGAGCACCTCTGCTAGTATCACACCAATTTTTGTTCAATATCAACCAGACAGCGAGAGGCAGGTTAAAATCAGGTGGTTTGATAGAAGGATCACTAATGGTCAGGCCACAAGAAGGTACCTTGGACCATTCATCTCTCCAGACATTCTTGGGATTAAACTTGGTAGATTTTAAGTTTTCCATGGTGGTCTACAAGATTTCTTTTGATGGGCTGCACATTGTCCTGGTGAATAGGGAGGGCCTTGTTGTACAGCATCTTTGAACATATCGGGACAAGAGCTTGTGGTCTTCTAATATGGGGGAGTATGATATTGCTACTTAAGTACTGGTAATCAGTGCACAGCACTGGGATGCAATGTGCCAGAGATGATATGCATTGTCTGGCAGAGTTGGACATCAACAATTTGGGTGTGGCTAGTGTTAAGCCACACGCTGGCATAATATTTAGCTGTGGAATAAACCAAAGCCAAGACTGTTGTTTGTAGGGTGTTAGCATCAGCACCCCAGAATGTTCCAGCCAGTCAGTAAACTGCTGTGGCTTTTCAATTTTCAAAGCCTGTTTTTTCCAAGTGTTGTCAGAAGGTTAGTGATCTCCTGCATTTAAACATAAAGGGATGGATCAACTACATTAATCACCCTTGGTTCCTAATTTATAGTTAAAGTTGCTATACAGCAATTCAGTTACAAAGGGGGGGAAGATAATTTTAGAATGCAGGGGAATGCTCATGTCAAAGATGGATAGCAACTACTTAATGAAGTGTTTTTTTTCCTGGGCTCATATGGCTTTAGGGAATAATGTTTGATTTAAAGTTGCTACTCATATAACATGCATTCCCATGCACACTTTGTACATGTTTTCAGTAATGCCCAAATGCAGCTTTCGCATTGTAGACACTTGTGTTTTGACACTGTGGCACACTTTTCTCATAATCATGACTTCCCATTAAGCCAGGTGATTGGACTCTGGTAACAGCTACAATAAATATTATAAAAGAAGGACCATGCCTTAACCGTTTGATATGTAAACAGTTTTGACTTAATTTACCAACCTTTTTGTTGAGCACTTCTTTCTTTGAAATGAAATCTAGAATGCTCAACCTCTTCTAAACTTACATAAATAAGTCCGATATCTGTGAATTAATAATCTTACAACAGGACCATAGATTTATATGCCCATTATGATTCCATAATTATCCAACTTAAATTCCTCCATTTTCCCATTCCTTTTGCAGCCTAACATAGTCCCAAGGCTCTGTCATATTCCTATAGTAACAACAACAATATTATATTTCTACATATTATCAATTGAACATAAATATAGGTATTCCTAAATAATGCAATAGGAATGCAATTCTAAAACTATAGAGCGACTGATGGTTTTTTTTTAATGCAACCTCACATTTTCTTAATCACAGTAAAGACTTGCTGAGTCTAACTGATTTGCATTTCTTTTCTCTGCCAGGCACTGTTGTAATAGAAGGTTACAACTTTGCATATTTTATGCTTCTTATGTTAAGGCTGAATGAAATTGGAGCCACACATGTTTGTGTCTTCTAAAGCATGAATTGGTGTTGCCTTAAAAAATATGATCCTCTTGCACAACCGCAAATAAAAGAAAACATCTTTTAAGCCATAACACAAAATGCAAAGGACCATGGAGAAGCAAAACCATGGAATCCACACAAACATTTACCATTGAATTGTACTTTACATAAACCAATTCAGTCTAGAAAATTTAACAGCAAGCCAACTTTGTTTGCAAGAGTTTCACACTAGGGAATGCATTTCCAAGCCATTGACAACAAGTCATTAGTGGAGGTTATTAAGCTGCACAGCAGTTGTAACTTCAAAACATAGCTATCTTGGCAAAATTCCACTGCAAAACATAAATCTCTTTCGTGAGGGAGGTGAGAGCAGTCGAGATTTACCTTGTTGTAATTAGGAATGGAAACTATTCTCTGCCCAAGAGAGAAAGCAGGCGATGATGCCATTCAATCATAATGCAAACATGAGTTAAATGCACAGAAATATGACTTCTTGCTTTAAGATAAATGATTTCTAGAGGACAGACCAAGCATGGAAGGTTATGTGTATTATTGGTTAAAAAAATGGAGCAGACCTGTAAATTGATTGGAGCTCAAATGTTACTCATCAGAAGCTTGCAGTGTAAATCAAGGGGAAACTGGGTATACAGGTAGGCATAAGGAATAATAAAACAAGGATTTCAAAAATATGTGTTCAATTCTGTTTACAAATGTGAACAATCAAGGGGAGCTCAAGGGCAGATAATCTTATAGGACTGGCAGGACATGCATCTAATGTTTTCAGAAAATTAGTGCTATGGAAGACTTACATTGGTGCTTATGGACTCCACACTATCTATTCTTGCTGCAGCTTACATTAATTTATGTATCTTTTTTATATCATACATAAATGTTAGATACATGTCTACTTATAATTGGGAAGTGGTGGATTCCTGAATTTGATTTGATTCTTGGGGGAGGGGGGGAGAGGATAGGCTTGCTTTAAAGAGTTGGAATTCCAGCAATATCATCAACAATAATGAGCATCCATAAAGGCAGATAAGTACGAACACAAATGACCCTCAACCAAACTATAATACCAATTCTCAGCTTTCATTAAAGAAAAAAAGGCAAATTTTAGAGACAGTGACTTGCAGACAGGCTTATATAATGGAACATAAATTTTCAAATACCCTATAACCAGGAGTTTGAATTTTGCTAAGAAGTAGAATGATATAAATTAAAGTGTTAGGGACATTTTTTTTCTTATGCAGTAACTAATCCCAGTTTAACATTTAGACCATAGACGTTTGTGCCAGAGGAAGTTTCCAAGAAGCATTTTCAAAGAGACTGTTTGTTACACTAGGTAATGTTGACCCATTATTTAAGAAATATATGTGTCTAATGAACTAACCTTAGCTGTGCAAACACACTTCTAAACATTTCTGAAATCTGAAACTCCACTCAAGGTTAAATCCAGGAGTTTAAGAAATTCCACCCAACATAATTTGAATTTCTATTCTCTAGTCTGCCAATCGGGTGATCAGAAGCATCTAAATTAAGCTCCTTTTGCTTTGTTCTGATCCTAGCCATTACATATATCAGTAACCTACTTAAACAGGTTTTTAGATTTTAATATTCAGCTGAAGCTTGAATTACAAATTAAGAGGTATTGTGTAGAATCCAGACTTACCCATTATGATACAAAAAGGGGAAATATATCCATATTCAATATCTCTACTGTGAATAGCATTTGTACAGATGTATTTTAATCTATTGGGAATAAGATTGTTAATACAGCTAAGATCTGCTGATCAGATTTCAATATATGTATCTTTTAATTGCCAGATATCTCAGAATTCTTTGTTGTTTTCAACCAGAGTATTTTTTTCATACTTTCAAATGCCTATCATCTACTTTCTTTTTCTATCTTATAAGATAAAGTTGTCATTCTTATGAAGAAAGCACTGATACAACAAAGAGTGCATTCTTAAGATTGTTCTCTGTTTTCCTGTTTTTTTTTAAATATCAGATGGCAAATGTCTTTATGAAGCATCTTTTGTTGCTCCCATAAAATAACTTCCTAAATCAGACCTCTCTAATCTCCATGGTTTTCTACTATTCTGCAATACCATGAGACTTAACTCCAAGCAACAAAATGTGCTACATCAGAAATCAATTTTTTTCAGCTACCAAAATATGTATGTCTGTGCGTGTGTGTGTGTGTGTGCCTTCGAGCTAGTGCCTTCTGACAACTGCCTAGATTGCAGTTTTCTTGGCAACATTTCAGAAGTGGTTTGCCATTGCCTACTTCCTAGGATTGAAAGAAACTGAATGGCCTAAGGTCACCCAACTGGCTTTGTGCCTAAGGAAGGGCTAGAATTCATGGACTCCCAGTTTGTAGCCTGGTACCTACACAAAACTGGATCAACCATTTTTTCAGACACCAAGATTTGCAGGAGGTGTAACAAATGACACAATGGTGTAATCCAGTGGTTCCCAAACTTGGCAACTTTAAGACTTGTGGACTTCAATTCCCAGAATTCTCCAGCTGGCTGGAGAATTCTGGGAGTTGAAGTCCACAAGTCTTAAAGTTGCCAAGTTTGGGAACCACTGGTGTAATCAAAGCAGGCAAAGCCAAAGTATTTCAGTTCATTAGAGAAAAGGGAACTTTGGAAGGCAGCTAATCAATTATTTTAGGGGGGGGGGGGGAGAATGGGAACATCATACCACTGAAAGTGGATGTTTTTGCCCCTGAATTTCAGCAGTACAATCTGAGGGTGTTATGATAGCTGGAAATGAGGTGTGCAATGTCTACGGTCCATGGGTTGCAACTATATATTTCTGCAAATTATAATCACATCCCACTTTTGATTGCTACCCTGGGAAAAAAATCTAGCAATTGTTTGTTTTGTAAAGTAGAACTTCATTCATTTTATCAATTATTTAAGTAATATTCACAGAAGCAGATTCAAGAACTTGGTCGGGGGCTTCTAGGATCAGAAAAAAAAAAAAAATAGGCCAGACACCCATCATATTATATGGCACCAAGTGAAGATGCACACACATAGGATTGAGTTGTTATCAGTTAATATCCAAGCTACCATCAGCTTCATCAGTTATTTCTAAGAAAATGTCTTTAACTCATAGAATGATCTTCACAGAGCAAACTGTCTATCACTTACCTCTAGTTCTACCATTCTCCTAAATTCATTTTTCAGGAGTTCTTTGATGGATTCACTGATATTTTGTACTACAGATTTCCGTGCTAGCACTGAAAAGACGAATCAATAAATAAGTATTAGAAGTATTAGATGCTAATCAAAAGTATATACAGATTTAAATGCAACAGTTGAGATAGCAGGATAACTAGAGAACTGGGAGGAATTAATTTTCTTTATGAATATAACATTAGCATTACTGTTAAGAAATGGAAGTCCTTGAGCTTTTTCTCATTTTACAATCAGAAACCAAGCAGAGATATATAAACACAAAGTCCCAGTACTAACCATCCAAAGAGACTCATATCTGAGACAGGACAAAGACCAATTTCTTAAGTTCTATTGCTACTGCTTCTGCTTCTGCTGCTGCTGCTGCTGCTGCTGCTGCTACTACTGCTACTACTAACTACTAACTACTACTACTACTACTACTACTACTACTACTACTACTACTACTACTGATTGTATCATTCTCTTCTACTGTGCATTCCTTCCTATTCATTGTTTCTTCTCTGATCGGAATGGGACAACTCACCTGGCTGGCTCACCACAGCCAACTTGCTGCAGGGTAACTCACCATGGGACAATTCAATGCAGAATAACTCAAGAGAGGGACAGATGAATTTCAGCAGCCTTGTCTGGCTTAGGCTTGAACCTTGAACCTAAAGCAAGACAAGGCCCAATGCAATTCACTTGCCCCTCTCTTGAATTCTCCCATGATGAATTGTCTCACAATGAATTGTTGTGTGGTGAGTTGGCTGTGGAAAGTCAGTCCCAGTGAGTCAGCCAGAGCAAGACAACTGGAGCAAATAGGCCAGGGTGAGTCAGCCAGATCTAGTTGCCCTAGACCCTCCCTATGTATTCTAAGGAAGCACTACCTACAAAATGTTTGTTCAGACAGCCATATAATTTAGTATTAAAAAATGCTGCTGAAATGAAAAACTGGGAAAGCAATTAGCTGCTAAACAAAGATCTTCCTGTTGCTGACACATACTGAACTTAGAATTGGTCTCCCCCACCCAGCACTGGATGTCTAACATATATTTAAACATGAAAACTTTGGCTGACTCTTCAACACTCATACAAACAAATAGGGCAAGAGAATATTCCTGTAGCATCCAGTTAAACAAGACTGCAAATTTAGGATTAACAATTACCTTACTTCTATGAATCATTTCATAATGTATCCTGAGAGCTAAGCCTGCCCCTTTTTTGATTGAATTCTATATACTTTCAACACTTTTAAAGGAGACAAAAGATGATAATATGCATTTCAGCAACCTTATTAATTTAGAACCATCCCATTGTATTGGAACTGCAGTGTCTAAAATGTTAGCATAGAGTTCTGGAAATTGCAGTTCCAACATGCCGGAGGATGGTAGCTTAGGGCAAGTTGACTTTTTAAAAATTAAATGGAAGAAAGTTTATCATTTGGAAGTGAAACAAACTGGAAATGAGTCACCCAATCTGGAACTGGTTTGAAGTGGGTAGAAGGTTACACAAGCCCACAACAAGTTTGTTTCATCCAGAACTCCACATCTAGGACAACTCAAGTCACTTCCGATGTACTCCCAGAAACTGATGAAGCACTTTAGGAATGGGCTGGTCCAAAAAAGGTTTAGCATGATCTCAATGAATATTTTAAGAGTTCTCCAGAATGTTCTATTCCCCAATCAATCTCATTTTAAGTAATAGAAGTACTAGCATAGATTATATGAAAAAATAATACATTATTACAGCAGCAAAGTTAGGGCATTTTTCAAGAAACAATCAGCAATAGAGTGGTCAATGCCTGGAATACACTACCTGACTCTGTTGTTACATCCTCAAACCCCCATAACTTTAACCTTAAACTGTCTACTGTTGACCTTGCCCCATTCCTAAGAGGTCAGTAGGGGTGTGCATTAGTGCATCAGCATGCCTAACATCCCTGTCCTACTGTCCCCATTTATTTGTACCCATTTCCAACATATACATATATAAGAAAAAATCTTACCAGTTGTTACCAAATATTTATCAGGGACTGTAATGTCACAAACATAAGGCTGTTTAGTTGTGGTAGTTGGAATGGTTGTCACTGTAACCTGTGTAGGGGTCCAGGTAGAGGTTGAAGAGGATATAGATGAACTTGATTTGCTGCTGGTAACTGAAGAAAGTCCTATTTTGCTACTGGAAGTAGTGGCAGTAAAAGCTGTCATAGTAATATGCTCAGTCATGCTAGTTTTTGTTAGAACATCAGATTCAACTGCAGTATTCACAGATGAAGATGTCTCAACAACCATTGGTCCAGTAGGTGAAATTACATTGCTGTTCATATTTGTTGACAATGGTGTATAAGGAGTGGTTTTAAAAAAATCTGTGGTAGAAGGTACCTCATGGAAGGAAGAAAATGGACTGAAATTAGCAGTAGCACCACTATCTTCAACGATAGCTGTAGTTAACCAAAAATGTGAAGTTAAGACAGGGGTTGACTGCAATGATGTGAACCACAAGCTCACATATGTATTATCCCCAGAGATGTTGCTGGTGAAAACAGGCTGTGAAGCTGACACAGGTAGCTGCTGTGTTAACATGGTATCAATAGTGAAATAAGACTCAAAGTGAGAGGTAGCTTCTGTGAAAGCTGAGGTAAAATAAAATTCAGATTCTACCATCAAGGATGATGTTGGTTCTAGTAAGACTGAGGAGTTCATATAGAATTGTGATGAGGGCATCACTGCAGAACTGTGCGTAACTGGAAAAGAAGATGAGCTTGAATTAAAAAATGAACTTTGCCAGGAAGAAACTTGAGAAGTCACCATACTAGTGATGTTAAAAGCTGGTTGCTCAACTGAACTCCATCCAGCTGAATTGTCAAAAAGCACAGATGATGGAAGGAGTGTGGGCAAAATATGAGGTAAAGGTGTTGATAAATCACTTGGCATTGTTAGAAAAGATGTATCTGTAGCCAATGATAAATGGGACAGATCAGTTGGCTCAGGGGAAAAGGGTTTGAATGAAAGGCTGGATACTATGTCTGATCTACTGATAACCGAGTCTTCTATGGCAAAATGCTCTACTGCAGTGCCAAATAAATGTGTGGTTTCTGACAGCATAAATTCAGACGTTTCTAGCAGAATTGAATGTCTCATTGTCATGGAAGGCATACTCATATTCTCTATGGAGACAAATTCTGGAGAAATTGTAGCCACTTTAGAAAATGATGTTTCTGTAACACCTGTACTAACTTCTATTGTAACTAACTCAGACACAGAATAGGAGAAGTTAACCAGACTGCTTTCCAATGATATAATTTCAGAAGACTGGCTATAGAAATAGGAAGGGGACATGGATGTAAATATACTTTTAAGGCTAATTTCCATAGAATTTGACTCAGAGAGTGCAGTAAATCTTGAAGAAAGTGAAACAACAGGTCTTGATGGAAAACTGGTATCAAAGATTTCAGGAGGAGGTTCAGGCACATCGTAGAGATCACTCATTTCTGATGTACGTGATGCAATACTCTTTACTTCAGAGACCATGAATGTGAGCGTCTCACCGTACTCGCCTGAACCCACCTCGTTTTCTGTGGGTCGCATTGAAAAGAATGGTTCTGGAGAAACTGAAATTAAGTCACAGTACAGACATGATGTATATGGTTCAGTGAAAGGCACTGGACTTTTGGAATCACTGAGTTTTTCTGAGTAGCTAGGAAAAATTGATGCGGAATTTCTGGAGAATTTCTGGGACAGTTCATGTGTAAAAAACATTTCATTAAAAGGAGTATTGAAAGCAGGTGCCTCTGTGTAGGAAATGGTATGAGGAAAGTTGGTTGAAAACATAGTTGCCCCCATTAATGAAATAGGAATACTTAGGACAGATGAGTATTTTGGACCCAGTGTTCCAGTTAAACTGCTATTAATACCAGAGTGAACTTCAGGATATGTGTAAGTTCTTTGTGTATTGTGATATGTAGGCGACTGTTCTACAGTAGTATCAAAAAGCAGAGAAGTTGAAGAGAAAAGATAAGATGGCAAACTCTCCCCTTCTTTTCCAATACTTGCATCTGCCATTTCTAATGCAACAGAATGTAAGTCAGTCTGAGGCATAAGCAAGTCTCTGTATGGAGTTAGATTAATACTCGTCCCATCAAAAGACTTCAAGTGCGGGAGAGAAATATGGGGGACAAAGGCAGCCCTTTGCAATGTTGTCTGCAATGTTCCCACATCATCAAGTGGCAAAGAGGAGACAGCTAGTGAAGGTGCTAACAACAAAGTCTGTAGTGTTTCTTTAGTTGGCTTTACTGGGTAGGAACCCAAAAGATCGCCTTCTACAAAAGACTTCAGGGAAGGCGTCTGTTGTGCATTTGAAATTGAACTAATAAAACTATCGTCACTTAAGATGGCTTCATTGCTTGTTACTGAAAAATCCAGTGCTGGTCCCTTTTGTTGAACTGAGGCTCTGCTCCCTGCTTCTTGGTCCAATGAGGTCATTTCAAAAGGAGTGGTTACTGGTGATGACAACTCAGGGAACGCGGTGTTTGCCCTGGAATCTCTTGTGCTTTCGGTTAAGGCTGTGTGTGTCTTGTTACCCACAGTGCTTTGACTCAGCAAAAGAGAAGAAAAGTTTTGCTGCCCCAAATAGATGTCATCTAAAAAGAAAAAAAAGAAAGCAAAAGTATTAATCATAGGTTAAATGAAGATGATATCGTCACTCTAAGGTGTCAAAATGCTACAGTGATTCACTAACCTAAGAGCTGTTAGGTTGTCTATAAATTACACACACACACATATACTCTGTGTGTGTGTGTATATGTATACACACACATATATATATATATACTGTGTGTGTGTGTGTATGTATGTATATGTATATGTGTATATGCATGCAATAATCCTCAAAACATGCTGCTTCCAAGGCTATCATGTTCATGAAAACTTTTTGCCAAAGATTAAGGGAGCTCTTGAATCTTCAGAGTCCCATATGATGTATTACATCGAAAGGCCCGTAATCAGATGACAATAAGCATTTATCAAGGCTTCTTATCAGCATTGCTCTCTCACGTAAGCTGAAGATGTAATTATAAAATATGAGCTTTACTACTTCACATTGTATGCTTATACTCCATTTCCATTCAGTTTCTGCTTTCCAAAGGGAAAAAAAATTCTTAGAAAGGGAGCGGATACCAGAAGATGAAAGCCAAATCAACGCACTGTTTCTGTCTGAATTTTTCAAGTACATTTAGATATGTTTTTATATCCTACATAATACTATTAAACTATTTTATGAAAAATTCCAAACTCATAAATGACAGTCTCATTTGCATAGTCTACATTCAACACATTCTTTTTCCTTTCCAGCTTCAAGTTATTTTATTGGCATTAATGAGTGAAGAAATGTAGATATTGCCAATGCTGTGGGCTTTCTTCCTTCAGCTAGTGAGATTTCAGGACTAGATAGATGGCACTCTGTATAAAATATTTCCCAGATCCTGAGAAACTGGAGGATTGTTAATCATTTTCTGCTTGTCTGATAGCTTCCAATTTAGTCTTTCTCTAAACCTGCTTAGTTGGGCTAAGGGCTGAAACTAACAATTCAGTTGGTCAGCTTTATCTCCTATGGTAGAATTACAATATTTTTCGGAGTATAAGACGCACCAAGATTTTGAAGAGGTAATTTTTAAAAAGTTTTTGCACTCTGCAGGCCTCCCAAACCCTCTGCATGGTTCATTTTTTTTTTGCAAAAAAACAGGACATGCATAGGCTTTGGGAGGCTTGTAGAATGCTCCTGGGGCTGAGGGGGCAAAAACAAGCAAAAAACAGCCCATTTTTCCCTTGTTTTTGCCCTCCCCACCCCACCAGGAGCATTCTACAAGCGTCCCAAACCCTTTGCACGTCCATTTTTGTGAAGGTGGCAGGGTTTCAGGAGGCCAAAAATGCTGTATTCAGTGTATAAGACGCACCCGGATTTTCATCCTGGGTTTTTTGGGGGGGGCAGGGGGGAGTGTGTCTTATTCTCCAAAAAATACGGTAGTCTCTCCCCCCTGCCATTATTCTTTCTCCCACTACACGCACCGACAGTGGAAGATAACAAGTCAATAATACCTCCCTGAAAAGCAGTTCTACTAGTATTGATTTTTGTCCTGGGGAAAAAAAGTCTAGGTGGAAGTGTTGGATTTGTTCAAAGGCCACATTTTATTTGGAGTGAAGAAACAGCCCAGCAAACCAGAAACGTATTGGACTCCTCAGCAAATAAATCTCTAGGGCAAAGTTTCCCTGGGAATAGCCATTTGTTACTTAAGGACAAAATCAGAATGGGTAAACTATAACATATATGCCAACTTACACTGAATCTCTCTTCAGTTAAGACCTCTGGTGGGAATGGAAAGAACATACTGTCGTGTCCATGAGAAGAGTTAAATATTAGGTCCATTCTTAATAAAATCAATATATGTTTTGTCTGATTTTTTTAAAGTCCAACTGTGATTGGTTTAGTTATTAGCAAATTCAGAAACTGCTCATTTTATAATTAAAATGATTAGTCTGGAAAAGCAGTGTTCATTTCCTAAAGCAAATTATTTGTTAAAATTATATTCTATTTTTCATACAGGAGTTCAAGGTGGCATGCATTGCATTGCCTCTGCCTTCTTTTCCTTCAGAACAAACCTGTAAAGTAGATGGAGCTGAGAGAGCATTCCTAATACAAAGTCATCTAGACTTCTGTGACTGAAGGTAAATAAGGATCTGGGCACGCAGGTGCCAGTCTTATGATGGAGCCATGGTGGCGCAGTGGTTAGAATGCAGTACTGCAGGCTACTTCTACTGACTGCCGGCTGCCAGCAGGTCGGCACTTCAATTCTCACCACCTCAAGGCTGACTTAGCCTTCCATCTTTCTGAGGTCGATAAAATGAGGACGCAGATTGTTGGGGGCAATAGGCTGACTCTGTAAACTCTTTAGAGAGGGCTGTAAAGCACTGTGAAGCGGTACGTAAGTCTAAGTGCTATTGCTATGCTGTAGGAATAATCTTAAAAGACAGGATGAAAACCCACAGTTTTACAATCAAAATAGTGCCGATATTCCTAGAAATGCTTCTTGCCTGGACTACCTAAAGAGCTAACACAACTATAACACACTGGCTCTTTATGATAGGTTTTCACCTCTCTGCCTAAAATCCTACAATGGACATCAAAAGATTTGGGTTTTCAGTAAATTTAGACTATGTCTAAAGTCTGGAATGGCAAAACACAAAAGAGAACTATGAGTTATGGGAAAAGAATGTTACAGGCTAATAAATAAATTCAGTTCAGTTTCTGGTGACTGCATGGAACATTTCCATGTTCTCTTCTGGGAAGAAACATAGAATTGGATTGCTGCTGCCTTCTTTTCAACTTTGCAAACTACCTACAATCTGAAATTACAGAACAGTTAAGGAAAGTAGTGGAATGGTGCAACCTAGTAGACTTGGAAATACGGTCTTATTTTATCCAAATAGTTATTCCTCTGCAGGTGCTCCTGGCTCAACACGAGAGATTTTTGTAAGAATATTGCCACCTTACACTGTCACATTCATGAGTTTCAGCAAATCCTGTTTGTGCATTTTTGAAATTAATAGCCAAACTGCACAGAAACCTAAATAGACATATAGCTAGATTATAACTATATAGATATACAATGTCACGTAGACGCTTGAGAAAGATTATTAGAGATATATTTCAGAAAAGTGCACATGCAATTGATTACCTTCTGTTTTTCCCTATTTTTAGCACTTTCTTGTAGCAAACTATCCCCAAACATTTTAATTCACACCAATTGTATTTAGTGCATGTACCTTTTTTTTGCCATCTTTACCAATTTTTGCACCAAATTGCTCATTAAACAAAAAAAAGTAGAATCTGTGATTTTTAAAAATCAATAACTGGTAGACAGAGGCCAGTTAGCTGTAGATCATGAATGAAGTATTTATTTATTAATTACATATTAAACAAAAATATATACCAACTCAAGCACAGGTGACTTTAGGCAGCTTACAACAGTAAAATCCACAACATAAAAAGCACCATAAACTATAAAATTCCCACCCCATGACAGCATAAGTGATTTAACTTCTATCCTGGATCCAACATAAACTGTATCTTCTTGTCTTCTTGTCTTATTTTTAGTCACTCCTTCAGCTTTTCATTCTTGTTTAATAATATGCTCAAAAGAAGGAAACACAGCATTATTTTTCATATTATTTCATAGAAAAGAAAATTGCCAGAGAATAGCACGAGCTTCTCAACCTGCCATAATATATTAAAGCGAGTTTGATCACAGCTGTCAGCATTTTCCACTTGAAACAAGATAACCTACACTGATTCTTCATCTCCTGTTTCCATACTTTGGACCAGTTGCATCCTTTGAATAAACAGCTTAAACTTTTAGTTCATAATAAGAGCTTATTGTGTACACATTCTAAGAATGAACTAGATTTCAAAAACAAGTATTTCTCTTTGTTTTATGGAATAATCAGCCCAAAGGTAATAGGATTTGTATTTATTTTAATGTGACAAATGAGAGAGAAAAAAAATCTTAGTGTATATTTGCTTGCTGGGTTCAACAATAATTCATTATTTTTTCCCACGGATATATATTTGTGTTTACAACAGTGGAGACTGTAAAATGGCTGCTTGCCAATCATAGATTAAAGTTTGAGGAAAACAGAGACTCTTGCCCTAATTAAATGTGCATTTGTGAGGAAACAATAGAGGAAATAGTCAGGAATAGATTAGTCCACCTCAATTTTGTGCAAAGAATGCTAACTGGACCTTGGATAAGAGATGCCTTTAAAAAGCTGCTCTCTGTTCAATACAGTCTTGTTACGACAGATGGCTAGTAGGCATGCGAAATATAATAGCCTCTTATTTCATCCAGTGATGAGAACGGGAACAGGCAAGGTATCATGTGAACGTTTTTGACTATGTCTACTGTTTGATGCTTTCACAGCCGGTCCCTTTTACTGGTTACAGCCTGTCCCATTCCTTGTATCATCTCCAATATGACCTTGGGTTTAGGATTTCCAGCAGCACCACTTCAATTATTTACCTGGCATGTAATAGATCTTTTGTTATATTGGAAAAGTATTCTTCATCAACAAATATAGAGACATGTCCTCCTACACTTTGAGGGAACTGTGTTTATTCATGTCTTGTTCCTATCAAAAGCTAACCCAATTCATGTATTACACGAAAAGGTTCAATTCCAAAAGGACAGCAGTCCTCTCAACAGTTCAGACTATATCGATTACTCTGATTTTTTTTTATTTCGACAAGCAGCAGCTTGCTCAACTACCAAGCAAATTCTTTCCCTCACCTGCTGCCTGATCCTTCTAATACAGGGGTGTCAAACTCAAGGTCCAGGTGCCAGATCCAGCCGGTGGGGTACTTAGATCTGGCCCGCTGGGCCACCCTGGAAACAGCAAAGGACCGGCCTGTGGTGCTTCTTCCAGCAAAAACGTGGCAGAACATGTGTGGCTCTCCCAAGTTCCGTTTTCACTGGCAGAAAGTTGCAGGAGACCGTGGCAGCTGAAAACAGAGCTCGGGAGCCCATTTTCTCTGGCAGAGCGCTCGGGCCACCACAGGCGCCACCAACAAGAGTGATATCAAGCTGGCCAC